TTATCTGTTAACAACCTTGCAAAACCGAGATTCACTCTGGGTGGACTTTAAGATAGCCTCCACATGACAACATTAGGTAGTTTCCCCTTTGATCATGATTTTAGGATCTAATTGTCATGTTAAATTTCCTTTGATTAAAACTATAATGTTTTTCCTAATCAAGAGTACAAATACTTTAGCTTTAACCCCTGAACATTGTTTCATACCCTTACATGCTTATGCATTCTTAGCTTGACATGATGCATACTTGATTCGTAATATGATACCTTAGTTCACAATCGGTTAGACATTGTATTGCATGCCTTATATGTTAAGTATGACTATAGTTTTACATATTTGATTGCTTATATCTGTACTCCTACAATAATGCGACTGCTTATGTCTAATGTCCAAGGGAAGAACCTGTATATGACTTTATGAGTTGTACACATTGCATTTTCATTTGCATCATTTTCCCACTTGATCCTTGATCTTTCAGGTCGATCAACTTATGTCACCCTTACACCTTAAGATAGGTACCCTTAAGACTTCAACTTAGATAACTTACAATTAAATCTCCTATTCTCCCACAAGAGAATTAGACATGATTCATCTGTGTAGTCGAGATATAATGCTCCTACCTCATAGCATAGTCGAGAAAGATGTATAATCTTTCCGCTTGAGAGAGGTATGTGGCATGCTCGTCGATCAAATCCGAGTTGGAGCCCTTCATTCATGCGACGCAAATACCGTCTTCTATACGTCTATGGGGGTTAAGTTGAGTATTCTCCCTAAGATGACGACCCGTCTCTTCTCCTATAATCAATAAAAAAAACCTTCTCCCCCATGGAACTTTGGCCACAGTCAATGGTTCCTCGATCCCTTTAGGGGAACTACGAATGCTCTGATTCCATTTCCGTCAGAATACGTAGGCACAAATACGATTTCTTGGTGAGCATACTTAGAAATAAACCCCTAGGTCTCCTACCCTTAGCGACCAACAATAACACAATATAAAATAAGAGGTTCCTGTAAAATACTACAAATGCTTAGGATGCTAACACCTTCCCTAAGTTTAACCAACCTCGAACCTTATTTTCTCTAGCTTTGCACTGCATTGCATGCTCATGGGTAATTCAATCTTTTTCCCTTCCCTTGGACAAATTAAAGACCGGTGTTGAATAATGATTTGCGATTCAAGTTAATCAATAGCTTGAAAACCAATTCTCACCGCGACAGCAGAGGGAGCTGCTTGCTGGTAAGTGGGCGTAATAATAATAATTACATATTCTAGATAGTATGACATGTACACAATCGACTGTTGATATGCCAAAGGCTATTGTGTCCTCCTTTGGAGAAATCTACCTTTACTAACATAAATAACAATTGTCTCTCACTCCTTCTTCTTTTGGAAACCTCTAGGAAATTTCTTGGCATTGTTATTGTTGGAGGTTCCAGCAGTAGTCATCATTTTGCCATTTTTCATACCAAGCTGAATTTGTATGCCCACAACAACTAGGTCAGAGAAATTTGTAGATACATTACTCGTCATTCTTTCATAAAACATAGGATACAAAATGTCCATGAACCAATCAGGTAATTCCTTATCGGTTAGAGGTGGTTCAATTTGAGAGGCCACCTCCCTCTATCGTTGCGCGAATTCCTTGAAAGGCTCGTTGTATTTTTGGGACATACTCAACAACTGCCTTATACCCAGGGCCATATCCATATTATAATTATAATGTTTGATAAAGAGATCAATCAGATCCTAAAGCACTGGATGCAACCCTGGTTAAGGCTTAAGTGCCATTTAGAGGAAACACCCTTCCTGCTATCCTGAAAATAATGTATCATAAGTTTGTCATCCTCGACATGTGCAACCATTTTTCGATAGTGCATAACAAGATGTCTATTGGGGCATGAATAACGCTCGTACTTATCGAAATTAGAGGTCTTAAATTTTAAGGGGATCACAAGACCTAACACCAAACACGTTTCTCTACCGGTAGCACCGAATACTTCGTCTCCTTCCATAGCTCTTAATCTCTTCTCAAGAATCTGGTAATTCTCCTTTATGACTTTAATGTCCCCATGCCTTTCATCCCCTTCATCAGAAGATTCAGGAGCATGGTATACATGTTGATGGTCTTAAAAATATGGTTGTACATGTGCATGAATAATTGGTGGCGTGACTATATGGACCACATGATGTGCTCCAGTGGTGATTGGTAAAGGTACCACTTGTTAGGTAGACTACATAATGCCTAGGGCTCCTTCAAACTATGGCATGTAACTAGAAGGTAGACCAAAAGGAGGCCACATAGAAGACATAATTCTCACAGGTTAGGGCTCTAAGGTAGAACCAGAGATCTCTGAGATGACCCTTACTTGAAGCATTTACATGATCTTACCCACATTCCCTCTGAGGTCGTCAAACTCTGAACTCACCCTTGCTAATTCTTGTTCTTGATCAACTATTCTTTGACAAGCGTTGGCTCAAGTAAAATATCAGTTTTGAGGACTCAGTGTGGAACTAACGGAAGAAAACAAAATGAGTTTTTGATGATTAAGCATGCATGCTGATGAATGTAGATGCAATGGTGTGTGAATGAATGCAATGCACTTTTTGTTTTAGGTATATGAGTTCAAAAATATGAGGTACAAACGAGTCTGATTGCTTTGTTAACATAGGATTCTCACCAGGTATGATTTAGGGTTTACAATGGTTCTCAGAGTTATGGATCCACAAGAATGTTTGGCGCTTACGACAACTTACTTGTCAGGCGTCAACTCTTTCAAGGGAATTTATTCTGAGTGAGGTTCTCGTATCAACCCAACGAGAAATTTATCTCGCAGACCCATACTACACAACCATCAGCTTCGAAATTCTAGACAAGGTTCCTAGAGTCATGGATCCACAAGAATGTTTGTCGTTTACGACAACTTACTTGTCGGGCATCAATTCCTTTAAGAGAATATATTCTAAGTGAGGTTCTCATATCGACCCAACGAGAAATTCATCTTGCAGACCCATATTACACAACCATCGTTCCTAGTTGGCCAAAGGGTTGAGGTTCTACAAAAGATCCTTAGAGTCATGGACCCTAATGAAAACATTGAAGCTTTTGACAACTTACTTGCCGAGCGACAACACTCTCAAAATGATCCATTCTAAGTGAGGTTCTCGTGCCGACCTTAAAGAGAAATTTATCTCGCAGACTCACAATACTCAACCATCATCCTCTCTTATGTTTTCACTCTAAACTCGGGTAGAAAGCCTTTCACACAAGGTTTTGCAATCAGAGTATCAATTTGATACCACAATATAATGGAACCATACAACAAATATATAACAATATAACAATATAGATAATAACAATAAAGTAAAGAAAAGCAACACAAGTAAACAAAAATAAACACACAACGCACCAAACTAGGTTTGCCTCACTTAGGAGAGGGTCCCTAGCAGAGTCCTCATCTTTTGCACCTCGAAAAAAGAGAACACAACGCTCGCGAAGTGGAATCGCACGCTCGCGAGATGAACTAACAGATTCGTCATTGAACTTTATTTATTCTCAAAAAGGAAAAGAGAACTTTAATTTTAAGGCATAAACACTATGATTTTTCGGACCTGGCGAGCCGACCCACATAACCCATTTTGACAGTTCTAGTCCATGCATATACATATAAAAAAACACACCTTGTTAATTTCAAGCCACTTGCATGTTTTTAGTAAAGATAACACTTTCTCCATTTAAACCCCGTAGTTTTTTGAACCTGGCAGATTTACAGGAGCTAACTTTTTTTTTTTTTGGTTTTTCACCCTCTGATTTATAGGGGAAAGGGATCCTAGTCATTCAAAGTCCGGCTTGAGAGATCATAAGCTTGCCAAACATTATTTTCACTAAAAATTGAATTTGGTATTTCCTGAATCTTCGTTCCTTAAAAAGAATTCGTTTACCACTCAAATCTAAATACTTAGTTTGAGCTAACCCATTTTAACAGTTCTAATCCATACATAATTATATAAATTTTTTTCGAAACACATGATTTTATGATTTTAGTAAAGATAACTCTTTTCCCCATTTAAACCATGACATAGTTGTAATATAATTGCAAGGAATTTTATTGTTTGGAGAAATTAAATTTAACTATAATTTACGATTTTGAGCAATTGAATCATATTATCTCTAAATTTTCATCTTAAATCAACCTATTTCTTAAGTACATAATCCTAGTGGTAAGACATATTCATACTACCATACAAATACAAAAAGCACCTAGTGGCTAGTAGGCTAATAGTGGCACTAGTCCTCATATTTTGATTTACACTTTTCATTAGTATTAGTTTGACACTTGCACTTATTGCCTTAATCAACAACGATTGTGAATTTGGCCTTTAGTGTCTTTCTTTATAGACCATAGTGAATGCCAATAATTTCCTTTTTGAGTAAAAGGATTATATTCTCTTTCAAACCTTGTCAACTTATGACAAAAAAAGGATTAATCAGAACCGACACTATCCTCTCCATAAATTCAATACCCTTGACCCCTTTAAATCCAATTCAACACGCTTCACAAAAATCCACACTGTTACCGTTTGTTTGTTCTTTTCCGTTAACTCCGCATTTAAAACCCTTCCATCTCACGCAACTGAAAATACCAAAATACCCCCATTCCCACCACTACCCTCACCTCACACAGTACCAAAAAAAAATTAAAAAACTGCTTCTGGTTCTATTCCATTTCCATGGCAGTTGGAAGAACGCAACTAACTGCTGACACTTTGACTACAACGAGATATTCACAATCGCGATTCTCCGATTTGACTCGGTTATGGAAAGTTTGACTCGGAGCTTATTGTTGTTATTAACTCAGCTTGAAATAGTTTCGTCAATGATAGTTCTGTGTTTGGATCGTTATTTGTTTTCAGCTTCTGCCGATTCTTGCTCATAGTGCCGTTGATTTGTTCTGGATTCTGTGTAGATCTGAACCGTTCGGAGCAATCAACGGCGTCGGTCATGTTAATCGGTAATTCTAGGTTTTCGGATACTTCTTCTTTTGCTTAATTTATGCTTATTATGTAATATGGAATTGGTTATTGAAGCTTTGTTTTGAGTTGCGAGTTTGATTTGGAGATTCTATGTGTTCTTTGGAAATGCTGCTTAACTAAGTAGAGACACTGTGTATAGGGAGTTTCTATTTTGAATTTGGGGTTAATGGTTTAATCAAGGAGAATACTACTTGAAAATGCTAAAGAAAAGTATATTAGGGTTTTTACTTTCTAAAAACATTGGAAGTTTTCATTCTTTTTTTAATAAATTTGTGCTCATTGTAAACTACTAAGAATGAGATGAGAGGCGTGTGTGTGGTAAATAATTGTGATGGATAAAAGATGGAAGATAACTAGGAAGAATGTATTTTTAGAAACAATGAAAATGTGTTTTGAGATTTTTGAAATTTCTGAAAATGTTAGACCTGTTTTCCAAATTTGTAAAAGAAAATGACGGGGGAATCTAAGCTTTTGCAATGTAGTTGATCTTGTAAATTTTTTATTTGATATGTTGAAGTACTATAATTAACCTTGCTGGTTGCCAAATATGGCAAAGCCCCGTGTTTGAATAATAGTAGGAAGTAAATCAATTAATGAAGCTTAGAAGATGGAAAGTGGATTCATTTAACCTAATAATAGATATGATCTATGGAGTTGAGGTTGAGGTTTTGTACTTTTGTCCATCTTATTATGATCCTTGCTTACTAACCATCCTTTGCATCTCAAATAATGTTGTTATGCGCGTTCTTATCCCTGAGAACCGATTAATTCCCAGTTCAATCATTGGAGCAAGCTGTTGTGGACTTAGGCAGGAAGAAACACTATTCTATAAGAATAGTTATTACTACCTAAATCCCTATCTCTAAATCTCTCGAGTTTTTTCCTTGTCCTTTTTAAAAGACCTTTTTCAAATTTTCTAACTGCATTGATTATTTCTTTACCTACATAGTACACCTCTAATTATGTTAAATATTTTTCTGCAATTTGTAATAAATGTTCAGATTAAAAACATCAAGTAATTCTCTCTCCGGAAAGATAAACTTGTTAAAACAATATCAATTGTCAACAAATTTAATATTACAACTAACTTTTCTTAATTCCCGTAATTTATTCAAAGGGGTCTTTAAGGACAAAGTTAGTATTCTATAAGAATCAATATCTTACTAGCAAAACAGACAAGATTAACTTTGATCTAAGAAATTCTTATTGTAAGTTGTACAGCCTTGTGCATTGGCACTGATTTTTTTGAGAGGCCATCATAATTCTTATAGCTCTACTTAGGCTTATGTTATACCAAACTAATACTTTCAGATTTTTGTCAATTCAGAGTTTTGTATAGTATCCTTATTTGTATGCTTTTGGTTTTTCCCCAACAAATGCAGATATATTAAAAAAGGTCCAGGGCTTATTGCTGAAATGGATGCTTATATTACCTTACATGCTATTTATGATCAAGTCTGGTGCACATGGTAAAACACTGGAACCTCCATTGCTATCTGCTGCTGGATCATCTTTGAAACACTGGAACTCCCACGGGTCTAAGTATGTGCTTTCTCATGGTGCAGCAGCAATTGGAGCACTGTCCCCGGCCAACCCTCCTTCAAATGGCCCTTTCATAAACCCTAGTCACCCCCCTAAAAGTTCACATTTTTCCATCCAATTCAAGAAGAGGAGTGAATGGAAACCCCCAATTTCGGGCTTTAAAAATATTGCTCCTATTCATTCTACGGAAGCTGCAGTCCCTTCTGTTTTGGCTCAGCCACCGTTGACCCCTCATGTTTCCAGTAAGTCCTATTCTTAATAACTGCTTAAAGTTGAAAATAAACATTACATTGTTTTGTGTTGATTTTGTGAGCTTCTGAACCGGAAGATTGTAATGACATAGGTGCTTATTTTCATTCTTCCAGATTGTTGTAAACAAGACATGGTGTTGAAACGAGGCGGTAAGGGTTGCCACTGTGTATATCCCATAAAGCTAGACATTCTTCTTTTGAATGTCTCTCAGAATCCTGATTGGGATAAATTTCTTGAAGAATTAGCTACCCAGCTAGGGTTGCAAAATAATACCCAGATTGACCTGATAAACTTTTATGTAATCAACTATTCAACATTAAATATCTCAATGGATATTACTCCACACAAAGGCATCGGTTTCTCTGCCAATGAAGCTTCTAAAATAAACTCTTCACTCTCAATGCATAAGGTGCGCCTAGACCCTGGATTAGTAGGTGGGTACAAACTTCTCAACATAATCTGGTTTGAACCTCCACCTCCGACTCAAGGTAGGTCAGGCATTTTTTGATCTAAAATATGTTACTGCTAATCACGGTGCTTTGATGTGCTTGAATTGCATAAGTAACACAAAGATGATTGTTGTACAGGTTAAAAAGAATAGTGTTCATTTATTTGCACCTAATTTTTAAACTTGTGTTTAAATTACATTATTACAACTTCGCCTTTGTTTGTCCCCCTTTTTAATATACTACAAATTCCTGCTTAAGTGGTCAAGAGAAAATTATGTTTATATTGTACTCATGGTATCTAATGACTGTCGTTAAAGAAACATATTTCATAGATTTTGTTTTCAACCAGCACACAGCAGACAATGCTGATGCTTATGGAGGTTTCTGTACTGTGAAATGTAAACTTGAATTGTGACAGTGAAGATATAATATTTGCCATAATGTTATTTATCCTTGTTTTCTGTATGTGTTTGTGGGTTTACACATATTATTTAATTTTTTTACTATTACACACTGAGGCCCTGGTGTTTGTTTAATATGTAGTCAGAAACTTTTCCTACTGTTATTGAACTCAAATAATTAAACAAACAATTCCTTATGCTTTTATATTTATCAAACATATATTTTTGTGTTAATGCAGCACCTACTTTAACTGCTTCGCCAGAGAAAGCACCTTTGTATCATTCACCTACGGCTACATCATTGAGTTCTTCAAATAAGGGAGGACATTCAAATCTATTTCTTGTTCTTGGAATTGCTATTGGCATGCTCTTCATTGCAATTGTATCCATATTAATATTCTGTTTGTGCACGTTGCTGTCAAAGGAAAAAACACCTCCAATTGAAACTGGTAAATATCACTAATTGTAAATTAGGACTGTGAAACTTGTTTAGCATGCAAAATTAAAATTGTTGACATGTTTAAAGTCATGGTCTGCACCTGACCTCACCGGAGGTTGTTGATTTCTCTTAAGAGTACAGGACACAAACCTGGAGCCGAGGAGGAATTTTCTTTAGCTTTTGCTGAGAAACTTGATTGTTCTTTTAACAATTTTATACTGCTAAACCAAAAATGCAAAATTTAAATTGCTCACTAAATGTTGTCAAATGTACCTGGCTGCCTGGCCTTATATTTGCAAGAGGCCGATTCCACAACTTGAACCCATGACCTCTTCGTCACACTGAAACAACTCTCACTTGTTGTCACAGCCTCCTTTCGTTTTATGCTACCATGTTTTTACAATTTTATACTGCTGAATTAGGGATAGAAACCCAAAATTGTGGACCTCTACATCTAGAAAAATGCTATGACTACCTGACCCATTGAAGGTAGCCAGGTGTCAAAACTCTCACGGTTACAACAGGTCTGTTTGGAGAAAATAGTAATTTTGTTCTCCTTAATTCTTAGGATTTCATCCTTGCATGTTTTTACATTTTGAACAGTAAATTAAAATCTATGATCATGTGCTTGTGAATTTCAAAATTTGCCATTTATGAATAAATGAAATGCCAAGCTGCTGATGATATAAATAACAACTTAGTTAAATGTTTGGATCAAAATAGTAAGTTTTTTTTTTTAATTTCCTTCAGGATTTCTTCTTAGCATGCTTTTGCATTTTACAGTAAAGTAGAATGTAAGATCATGTGCATTTGAGACTCAATGTAGATCATATTTATGAAGAAATGATGTGCCAAGCTGCTGACAAAATAAATACCAATTTAGATCCAGTTTGGATAAACTTATTTGAGAAGCATTAATGGAAAAAGAAATATTACAAACTATTGCAACAATTATAAGTTTTTTAAACAATAGCTTCTTGTACACGTTTAAATTAGCCTCTGTATCCCAATTCTTTTAGAACCTCTCACTTAACTACATAAATATCTACAAGCTTATAAGGGACTCTTTTGTATGGGAAGAACCATTAACTTATTTTATTGAGAGGCTTCTATAAGCTAGAAGCAAATCCAAACTGGGTTAAAGGTTTGGAGCGAAATAGTAAAGTGTTTTTTTTTCCTTTTAATTATTCTTAAGGTTTTCACCCTAGCAACACTATAGGTTTGTCATTTATGGAAAAATGACAAGCCAGCTATTGCTGAAATAAATAATAACTTATAACACACTTATCTGTAACATTAATGTTAGTGATATTTTTTAGATGTCAATGATGTTTTTATTTTATTTTAGAATCCATTTCATTTATCTTGTGTTGTCTTATATTGTATTTTAGTATATACTGCTCATGTTTCTCTCTTTCCTGCAGAAAAGCCTAGGACAGAGACTGCTGTTTCAGCTGGGGGTTCTATTCCCCACCCAACCAGTACACGATTTATTGCTTTTGAAGAACTTAAAGAAGCCACAAACAATTTTGAACCTGCAAGTGTACTTGGAGAAGGAGGGTTTGGTAAGGTTTTTAAAGGTATCTTAAGTGATGGTACTTCTGTTGCAATTAAGAGGCTTACGAATGGAGGGCAACAGGGTGACAAAGAGTTTTTGGCCGAGGTTGAAATGCTTAGTCGGTTGCATCATCGTAACCTTGTAAAACTAGTGGGATATTATAGTAATCGTGAGTCATCACAAAATCTACTTTGCTATGAGCTTGTCCCTAATGGAAGTTTGGAAGCTTGGCTTCATGGTAATTTAATTTTTCAAATAGCGGGCTCTTTTAAATTTGAATGTTTTATTTTTCTTGGTATATAGTCTTTTTTACTTTCAAAATGTGATACCTTAATTAGATTTCAAGTTGCTTTGTTCCAGGTCCCATGGGAATAAATTGTCCTTTAGATTGGGACACCAGAATGAAGATTGCTCTCGATGCTGCAAGAGGACTTTCGTACCTACATGAAGACTCACAGCCATGTGTAATACACAGAGATTTCAAAGCATCCAACATACTGCTCGAAAATAATTTTCATGCCAAGGTTGCAGATTTTGGTCTTGCTAAGCAGGCACCTGAAGGCGGAGCTAATTATTTGTCTACTCGTGTCATGGGCACATTTGGGTTAGTCTTGGTATATTCCTTATCGTAGTTTTTATTTCCAATGAATTTAGGTTTAAGGCGAAATGAAACTTTTATGTAGGTACGTAGCTCCAGAGTATGCCATGACTGGACACCTACTTGTTAAAAGTGATGTGTATAGCTATGGAGTTGTTTTGCTAGAACTGCTCACCGGAAGGAAACCCGTGGATATGTCACAGCCATCTGGACAAGAGAACCTTGTTACCTGGGTTAGTTCTTCCATACCTTGAAAGCTTCTTCCCATGTTTTCTGCATTTTATAATTGGAAGCGTTTTGAAGATTGAATTTCAATCTGTTCTATGAAGTTTTCAGTTTCACTATTGAGCAGACTGTAAATTCTTTATTCCATTCAGGCCAGACCGATTCTTAGAGATAAGGACCGGTTGGATGAGATTGCTGATCCGAAGCTTGGGGGAAAGTATCCAAACGAAGATTTTGTACGCGTGTGCACGATTGCAGCAGCATGTGTTGCTCCTGAAGCAAACCAACGACCGACAATGGGTGAAGTGGTGCAGTCACTTAAAATGGTGCAGCGAATCACAGAATACCATGATTCAGCGCTGGCCTCATCCAATACACAGACCAATCCGAGACAGTCCTCTAGCACTTTTGAGTTTGACGGAGCATCCTCTGTGTTCTCTTCAGGCCCTTACTCTGGTCTAAGTGCAGCATTTGACAATGACAACATTTCTAGGACAGTGGTTTTCTCTGAGGATCTTCATGAAGGACGATGAATACTGAGAAAACTCGTTTGTAATCTTGTAATTAGATCCATTTCAATCCTTGGCTAAAGGTTGAATCATAAGCAGCAAAATTTTCCATCGTGATTGAAGCTTTTAGCTACTGGCTTGGGTGACAAGATTTTAATTAATGAGTATAGTGTAGTTGGGAGATTGTGTTTTTTTTAGGAGTTAGAATATTAGTATATTTTTTGACATAATCTATAAGAAACTTTTTTTAAATAAATAAAAAAAGTATGATTTTTATAAATACAACAAAAATAGTCAGATTAGTATTCACTTTTTGAGTTCTAATAAAATAATTAGATACTACCATGTAAAAATTTTACAAAATCAAAATTTGTCTCTAAGTAGTATCGGCAAAAATTTACCGCAATCAAAATCTATTTCATTAAATAGGATCCGCCATCTAAATCAAACAATATTATAGTGTTCTATCAAATACTATATGTCATTTATTAATCTCTATTTTTTAATGTAGTTTCTCTTTTTTGTTTTTTTAGTTTAATTGATATGCATTAGATTTATATTATTATTCAATAAAAAATTAAGAGTCTGCCCATGTTATGAAAGTAATTTTAAAATTAGGGATTGGTTGAATAATTGAACAAAAATGTTGAGAAGTAAAAAATTAAGAGTCTGCCATGTTATGAAAGTAATTTTAAAATTAGGGATTGGTTGAATAATTGAACAAAAATGTTGAGAAGAAATAGATATAAGCTCATAGTCGACTCTTAAAACTAACCATTTTTTTAACAAACATCTTAAACTCTTTTAGAGTGTGGCTTTTATAGATATTATCTGCTAATCAATTTTTTAACCAACATCTTAAATTCTTTTAAAGGTAAGGTATGATTGATTTGCAAAATAAGAAGCATTAAACAAAACAATATTAGATTGTTTGATGGTGTCCAACAATGCTAAATGTATGTTTGATGATCAATATATGTGACAATTTTTTTTCTCTGAATTAAAATATTAAATAATGAGAATGAAAAAAAAATATGAAGAGGTAGATTTTTTAAACTCTATTTTGTTTGATATGTCGATGCAGCGAATAAAAATAATATAATTTTTATTATAATAATATATAAAATTTTAATATTGTATTTATGAATTAAAATATTAGATGATATGTATAGTCAAATAAAGAGATTTAAATTAGAATTTATTTATTTATTTTAAATAATAACATGTGAAGAAGAAGAATGATAATTTGTGTAGTTGAATCATGAGAATTAAATTGGAAAAAGAATAGTAACGTGTGAAGAAAAATAGGATATGTGTAGTCAAACTATGAGATGTAAATTTGAAAAAATTTGGTGTAAAATTTGATTTTATTGGAATGAATTCTTTTGTTGATAATTTTATATTGCAATGTAATATTAGATGATTATGCATTAAAAATAATAGTGATGTGAAATAATATGGAAACAACAACGATAATTTCAAAATTTTATGTTGATTAAAATTTTGGGATAAAAACAGGTAGATTGATTTATTTCTATTATATTAACTTTGATTTTTAATATAATATTTTTTTTATAGGTATATTGAAGAATTAATGTATTTGGACTATATGTAATCTATATATATTAATTCTTCAATAAATCTAAAAAAGTAATTTTTTATATATTAAGGATTGAAAGGAGTATATATATATATATATATATATATATATATATATATATATATATATATATATATATATATATATATATATATATATATATATATATATATATATATATATATATATATATATATATATATATATATATATATATATATATATATATATATATATATATATATATATATATATATATATATATATATATATATATATATATATATATATATATATATATATATATATATATATATATATATATATATATATATATTTGTGATTGTACTGTCAACCAATGACGATCATATATACGGTTAAATAAGACTGAAATTTGTAAATTATTTATATGACATGACAAAATAATATATTCTCGTTAAATAACAAAAATAAATAGCTATCACATCTGCATGATACTTCTATTGATTAGATGGTCACATAAGAACATGGATATCATTAACAATACGGGGTACAAAGTTTTAAAAGTAATTGTGATAAAATCTAATGAATGTCTCACATTTATAACTGTTTTTAATTACATGATGTGAGGAAATTACAACACCGTTTTCACTTTTTATTTGGTTTTTGTTGAATTGTAATTCCTTGTGTCGAATCAGGTTGTTTGATAGGGACAAGAAAATTGTCGAATAGCCTAGTGTGTGTCGAAACACGTAGTTGTCGAAGTGTTGAGGAGTTAACCTCAACATGAATTTTGTCTTAAACCTAATTTTGTAGTGTTAGCAGAATTAAGTATGTCAGGATTTTATTTTTGGACTTTGCTTAGGGAGTAAGTAAGCCAAATCTATAAATAGGGAGTAATCAATAGGGAGTAATCACAAGGATGTAAATGGATATCCATGGGGACAGATACTATGATATCTGTATCCGTTCATTGGGTAAATATTATATTCATATCCGCTCCATATCCATGCGGATATCCATTAAGCGGGTAATTCGTGGGTTTTACGGTATCCGCAGATATTTACAGATATCCATGCATAATATATATTTTTTATATATATTATTTTTTGAAAAACAATATTTTTAACTTCTTTTAAAGACACAAAAAGTTTTTATCACATAACATCCATAAAAATCGCTCTCAATTTAACAATAAAATTTTATCACATTAATTTTCTTTTTATTCACCAAAACATAATTAGATCCAAACATAATATACATACATTTCATTTTTAATCAAACAAATACAATATATTTTGATTGTGAGCTTTGATGGAAGAATGGACGACAGAGGAGTATGAAGAGAGACACTGATTCGACAGAGGAATGACGACTCTAGTTGGTTGGACTGTAAAATTGTTGAAGAGATGCATGAAATATTGAAGAGTTTAAATATGAAATGTGAAATATTTTCTTCAAATAAAAATTCAAAAAAACGAAATAAATATAAGAAAACTAATTTTTTTTTAGAAGATTAAAAGATGAGGTATAATAAATTAATGATATTTAATCCATATCCATATCCATATCCATTAACAAACGGGTATTTAAATATCCATTTATTTTATCCATGGATATCCATTAAGCTACCCGTCCCATATCTGTGACGGATTTTATCCCCGGATATCCGCGGGTATGGATTTTCTTGCCATCCCTAAGTAACCCATATTATTGTATAGTGTGAGATTTACTTGAATAAAATTGCAGTTTTGAGAGCAGAGAGTTACTCTGCAAAAATTCTTCTTCTTCCTCTATTTTGAATTGAATTCATAACTTTCTTTCTTCCCCAAATTCAATTTTCTTTTCTTGTTTTCATCGCCACTGTGCAACGGTACAATTTTGCAACCAAGGTTGGTTGATTCATTCGAGTGAAGAGTGAAGAACAAGAGAGAATTCGACCGATGTGATTGAATCCTGTTCATCAAGATTGATTTAGAATTACTCAAAGTCTTGGGTTTAATTCCAACATCTAGTATCTAGAGCACTGACTGAGCGATTCGTGGGAAGCAAAACACAATAACGATGAATCATCTGAACGGGAATTTTCCGGCGAGTCTCCCAGTTCAGAAGGGTCAGAATTATGAGAATTGGTATAAACAGATGAATGTATTTTTTTTATGGTGAAGATCTTTGGGATCTTGTGAAGGAAGGAGTAACACCACTTGCAGATGAATATGCATACAAAGAATTGAAGAAGAAATATTATAAAGCTCTCTTTATAATTCATCAATGTGTTTATCCAGACAATTTTGAAAAGGTCAGTGATATAGAATCAACAAAAGAAGCATGAAGAGTCTTGGAGAAATCGTTTGGACAGAAGGTGAAAGAGGTGAGGTTACAAACTCACAAAAGAACTTATGAATTGCTTCAGATGGAAGATGATGAAAGCATAACATATTTTTTCACTAGGATTACAAAACTGGTGAATCAAATCAAGGTATATGGAGAAATATTGACATCAAGATCAGTTGTTGCAAAGATCTTGAGGTCATTGGCTCCAAAGTTTGACCATGTGGCAGTAGCCTTAGAAGAGTCAAAATATTTGTCAAGTTTGACAAAGGAAGAACTTCAAAGGACGCTTGAATCTCATGAACAAAATATGACTGAAAGAGTTGCATGCAAGTCAAAGAGTGACGTGGCTCTGCAGGCACAATCAGCAAAAGAAAAGAAGGGCAAAGGAAGTTGGAAAGGTAGAGAAGGCTACAATAATTCGACTGGTCAAAATCAGTAAGAAGGAGGTTAGTCGAATAAGAGAAAGTCCTCATACCAAAGCGACCAAAGAGGTGGTGCAACAGGTAGAGGAAAATGTGTTGGTCGAAAACTTGACAAAAGTCACATTCAGTGTTTCAACTGTCAGAAGTATGGTCACTACTCTAGTGACTATCCAGAAAAACAAAAGAACCAAGATAATGATGCAAAGCTGGAAAGGTATGAAGAAGAAGAAATGTTACTAATGGTTATAACAGGAGTTGAAGAACATTCCAGGATGAATGGTACTTGGACTCAGGATGCTCATCACACATAACTAGTAGGAAGGATTAGTTTGTCAACATAAAACCTCAATGAAGAACATGGTGAAATTTACAAATGACAATACTCTAGCAGCTGAAAGTATTAGTGATCTTTTGATTATGAGAAAATATGGCAAGAGGTTAGTAATTTCCAATATATTATACATACCAGACATGAAGTGTAATTGCTCAGCATAGGGCAGTTGGTCGAAAAGAACTACAAGGTTTCGATCGAAGACAAGATGATGTGAGTTCTCGACTCAAGAGGAAGGTTAATCTTGAAAGCTCCTTAGTCTTAACATTGAATGTTCTTCTATGAAGGCAAACCTTGTCTTTTTAGGGATATCTTTATTTCCAAGAATTAACTCTTTTGGATAAGAAAACTTATACTT